AATTCAAAGAACCTATTGCAATAAAACGGCAATTTCATACTTTAACCCCTAATATTACATAAATGGTATGACGCGCGTATTTTGTTGTGGAGCAACATTTTTATTTTCGTAAGTTTACAATCATAACAATCATCAGCTGCAGACCGTCCCAACAACACTGAAAAAAAAAACCTATCGTATTCAATAGGTTAAGTTCTCGTAATCTAAAGGGTTATAATAATAGTAAAAATTATTCGGTTTCGCGTATTGTACTCTTAAAAAAGTTTCAGCTAATTTCGTTGGAGATATGATTTTAAAGCGGCTGATGAAACTTGTTTATTGATTGCTATACCGAATTCGGCAAAGTTGAATCACTGATAGCACAGAATGTGTAATAATATGTATATGGAATGATAATATAAAAAAATAATATGGTACGAAGGGATTTGTTATTAGGTAGTGTTTCACTGTATTGAATTATTTTAATTATTATTTAAGAAAGTCTCAATTTAGAATACGTTAGAAGGTTTATTAAAAGCTGTGTAGGAATTCCTAGGGGACCTTTTATTTTTTATTTAATTTTCTAAATATTTTTCAGAATGAAACGAAAAACATTCTACTTTTAATTTGAAATTCTCTAGAGAGGTCTCTAGCCTTTAACCGTACGAGAGAGGCAAAGGGTCACAGCGCACTTCGTGGAATGATTTACGATGCGTGTACACGTTGGTACATAAATAAATAATAAACAACATAGACCTACACCTTTTTTATTGGATTTAATTGGTAACATTTCCAGTCTGGTGGGCGTCGCACAAAGTATGATGTAACGCAGCAATGTGACTCCGGGCCCGCGCCGCAGCTTCGGACCGCATTTGACCCCAATCGACCCCAATCGAAGGACTAAATTGTTTGCCCGATTGCCGATATTATGACCATATAAAATATAGTACACAATTTTATACTAAGATGACCCAGCGCACGCTCCTGTACTCACTATTTACAGAAACGGGGAAACTATTTAATATGACGCTTAGCTTTTTATTTCGATGGTTCGGAAAAGTTTTCAAGTCATTGAAGGTGAGACACACTTTAAAAGTTTTCATTCCATTCCAGCCAATTTTGTTGAAGTACAGTGTACACATAGGAAATGAAACGATTTCTTTCGAATCTAAAACTCGTATATTTGTTTTTGCAAACAAAACAACGTTTCGCGCCCTTTACAGATCCCCATGGTTACGGCCACCGGCGGCTGACACCTTGGCTTTGACTTTTCGACGATTTCTCTATGTGTGACAATCGCGAAATGTTAGGAATTCGTACAGTATACATTTAATATTTTCTGAAAGCACGTATGTATTTAATTTAAATACATACGTGCAACTCATTGATTTCGATTTTGTGTTGGTGCATATCATGTTAGGCAAATTTAGATGGTACCTATATTTTAATTTTTTTCTTGGCAACTATGTATATCTACCTCAGCTGTGGCGGCACTTCGTAATTACACGTTCTTTTTTTGGTACTGTTTTTTCCATTGGAAAAGACAAAGGCACTAATGCGCCATGCAGCCAAGACTGAAAGTAATCTCTTTCTTATATTTCGTTACAAGAATTAAATGTCTTCGATAATGCTTCTTACGAAATAATATAAAATTGGATATCATTCTTGATTTTTCAGGAGATCTGGTAAAGAATGCGGGATGTTTTCAGGGGTTTTGTATAGTTCAAGGAGGTTACTGATGAGGATTATTCTAGCGATGGAAAAATGTGGGCAATCGAAAAATATATGAAGCATTGGCAGATTGGTTGGAGTAGTTGCAGTAAGCACACGATGAGGAGGAGATCATGTGCATTCTATGCAGGTGTTCATTGAAATGTACATGACCAAGACGTTATCTGGTCGTTACGAAATAAGAGGCCAAATTTGACGCTTGTCATGGCGACGCGAACAGGGGGTGTAATAATCATATCAGTAATCACATTATACGATTTTCACGAGAAATCGATTCAAAATTTTAAGAGTTTGTGATTCTTTAGATTATTTTTCGGTTTATTAGGGGCCTAAAACGCTAAATCGTGCAATTCTGTTAAAAGCAATTCATTTACAGAATTCCTTGCAATTCTGTGTGGCAATTCCTCTTATTTTCGTAAAATTGTCCCACATTCCTATTAATTGTATCCATTTTTTTTTAATTTTGATTTTATAATATTCATAAATTGTTTATTACGAGAATTTAGTGTAAATAAGTACGTTCATCGATAAAACAACGACATAATATATATAGACATAGATGAACATGAAGAACATGGCTTCAAAACAAAAATTGTCAAGGACCCTGGTCAGGTTCTATCGAAACCGAAAATGTTACAATATGGAGAATCCAATACGGCCGCCATATAAAATTGAGTTTGCTGAATCTCTGTAACTATCGATGATGGACGGGTGATGTCTTCTGAATTATTTTAGGATACTAATTTACGCCACCACACCAACTACCTGCACTCTCTCTCTCACCCAAACCAACCCAACCAAAGAAAATACTCTTCTGAAATGTTAACTTCAACTCCCAATTTGTCACCAGACACAAAGAAAGCCCGGCGCAACGCGCGCCATCTATTCTTATTATACTATTGTATAGGTGTATATCATTTTTGCATAATGTATAAATAAAATAACGGCAATTTGTGTATCTTACTATGCCTTTGGAAGGTTTGCTGGTACATTATAGCACAGGTTTTCCTTTTTTTAAGTAGAAGCGGCAATATGTATATTCTTATCGTATCGTTGTATTATTATTATTTTATTATTATGACTATTTTCTCGTGGCCCCACTAATTTGTCCCTATAGTGGGACCCGCACATTAATCAAGAGTAATATCGTGAACATAAACATAAATAGAGAAACATAGGCAGCAGCGTTTGAACACGTAATTTTGTGTGAGGAGTAGGGGGATTAAAATAATTTCAATAAAAAATCGAGATAAATTAATTTGCTACTCCGCGAACCCGGTTCGCGGAGTAGCAAATCAATTTATTTCCATTTTTATTAACATGAACTTCCGCAAAGTAACGCCTGAATCTTTAATAGCTAAAATAATTTCGTTTGAGTGTTTTCGTAACTTGTATTTATTTTAATTTTATTTTGATCTCATTACAAGTCTAACTGGCCATATAAATGTAATTAATAGGTCTCCTTTTCTGTTATTTGCGTTATTTAATAAATAATAGAACCGGAAATCCTTGACTTTCATATTGCATATTTAGACATTTCAATAAAAATACTGTACAACAATAAACTTTTAAAATATAGACTTTTAAATTGTTCTAAATAGTCGGTAGTTCCTCAGAAAAATCATATTCAATGAATCTATATAAAATTAAAACGGCACAAAGTTTTTCGTCAGGGCTTTAGCTCATTCAAAATTATCCAAAAATGTTGGTAACTTTGAAAAGCACTTTGAACACCATTTACTGCATTTATTGTCTTATTAACCTCAACCTAAAAATATGCTTATCTTATATTTTTATTATATAGATATACACTGGATAACTAGAACCTTTTGCAAAAAAGTTGAAAGTTTTTTGTGATACCACGTGACAGGACAAACAAGTTGTGCTCCTGGTGGTAATCGACACGTCTGTCTGTAGCAGTTGTAGTGTCAATCAGAGCTTTAAATCGCAAAATTTTGAGGGGCATTGCCACTGCGTCACCTTGAGATATAAATTGACAAGTCCCAGGTGACTGTAATTTCACAGCACCCCAACCCTTCAAGACCGGTGCACGGTAATACTCACAATAAAGCAGTAGAGGCAGATAACAATTAGATGTAATTTTATTAAGTTGCTTTTAAAAGTTAGTTTCCCCCGAATTGACTGAGCTAACCTATGATGAAATCTTCCATTCTTCGATTGTACATGTTCAAAATAAAGCATAATCGTTTCTTTACAGAAAATGACACGCATTATCTCGACGCTATAGAGATTAAAAACAAAAGTAGGTAAACCAATAGCAACATGTTTACAAAATTAAATTTAAGTAGATAAGCATTAACCTAAAGCGATGATACACGATGCGTTGCGTCGGCGGCGGTGCAACGCCCGAGCGGTGAAGCTGCGTTGTATCTACTCAAGTTGTATGTACAATACATAATGATCAGTACAGAGTACTAAAAAAATCGACCTCAAAAGTACGTGGAATTACGTCTATTTGCTAAGTTTTACTGAAATATCCCCTAGTTCGCCACTATACAGGACTTGACACTGGAGATAATAAAAATCGGTTCTTACTACTCAAAGCATATCGAGAGAAAAACGCCTTGAATTAAAGAAATATTATAAATAATATAAATAGAAAATCAACCATTAAAGTAATTGCTCCTAAATTAAAGTTAGGCGCTATTTATAAAAATGAATCTTCAAGCGTGAACAGCCACCCTTCGAGGTGGATGTTTTTCTTCAAAATGAAATGGGACCACTATGGAAGTAAGATGTACATAAACGGAACAGCCATCAAAACGCCTTGACGAAATTATTCTAAAATTAGTTTAACATAGGTTTTATACTAGTTATAGCAATTGCGTTTTCAAAACCAAGCAGCAATTTTGTTGTATATCGAAATTGTAACATATGGCGCAACAAAATACCACACAAACTTCAAGAAGTGATTTTGCTGTAAATAATTTGGAGTCCAATATGTTGGTCCATTTTATTGACGTATCTAATGTAGTTTTTAGATATAGGACGTATATTTTGTTTTAAATATGAATAAAACTACAGGTCTGCTATATTTAAAATGCCGTAAATATTTATTAAAATTAAAATGCAAAAACTGCACTTTGTACGCTGTTACAATGAAATCAAATCAGTCTCTATCTGAAAAACAAAATAACCAATTGTTCTGGTTTTGTTGGCACTTCTGAGCAAACAGGTACATACAATATTAAGAAATTTTCTGCAATAGCTTGTGACATAGTAATTTTCAACAAATCACACCCTAAGACAACAAATTTGCTGTTTTTTAAGTAATGCCTTGTATCGGTTTTAGCCAATGTCTTGTATCGGTTTTAATTCCTCCTTCCTCACTCGACGTTTTGTCATCTAAAATAAAAATTAGTAAAATTAAAATAAGTACATACAATACTATTATTTCGACCCCTCCTACGTAAAGTATCGTATGTCGAAATTGACAAGTTTACAGGGGAGCGTTTTAAAATTTGAATTTACTGAAATGGGCATAACAAGTGACTTTAGCATTTGTCGGTTTCATAGCTCGTTACTCACATAGAGTATTATAAAATCCCAGATATCGGTTAGATGAAGAAGTACAATTTATTTTATAATTTTGTACTAACGTCGATGTGGGTCAGCAAGCGGGTAAAGTAAAGTGAGACTGGACGGGTCACGACTGCTGCATGGTGGTCGTACACGAAATCTACCACAGTATGGATACCCAAACATAGGAAACGACTTCGCGGCAGACCAAAGCGTCGACGAAGAGACGAGCTAGACGCGCGCCTAAACGACTGAATCTCAGTGGCGCAAAGCAGAGAAGTGTGGAAGGAGGGGGACATAATATAATAATAATAATGATAGTAACGTACTAACAAAACGTATTTATTTTATCAGTTGTATACTGTTGTTTAACCCGATTGTTAATAAATTATCAAACCCGGGTTCGATTACCGGTAGGACCAATTTGGGAAATAAATTTTTCAAATAAATAATAAATAAATAAATAACGCACACACTCAACATAGCCCCGCACTAGGGAAACCCTGTGTCGCGGGTGCCATGGACACACACATAGACAACCACAAATTACACCCAAACTCACGAGAGAAATAAATGTAGGCCATACAAACATTTCTCCCGGCCCGGGAATCGAACCTGGGACCTCTGCGTGGCAGTCCGGCATGGTAACCGTTCGGCCACGGAGGTAGTTATTAATATTATATTATATTATAATAAAAATTACGGGACGAACAAATGCTCCTGATGATAAGCGACACAGAAATAGGTGAGGTGGCAGTACCTCCCTGAACGAACTCTTTCACAAGGAGCTCTACTGTTACAAAAAATTGGTTATGGTCTGGGTTTTCTGTTGTCAGACAACCGCATTTATCTTGTCTCAAACTAGAAATTCAAAGTAATATGATAATTTCGAAAATACATGAAAATATGGGGATAAAATTTTTAAGCACGCGGACGTCACACAGACGACAATGAATTGGTTAGAGCGCGGACGTGGTTTGTTTCAGGCCGTGGGTTCAAATACCTCCTGCGCCATAAAAAAATATTCCCATATTTTCATGCATTTAATTGATAACATTAACAACTTTTGGGCCTTTTATGTGACATTGGTCTTGATGGTAGGGATGTCAGGATCATTCGTAACCTGTATGAGAAGCAAGTGGCCACGATAAGAGTTGCGAATGAGGCTTAAATAAATAAACCGATCAAGTTGAGATCTGTCGTGGGGTCCGGCAGGGCTGCATCCTGTCTCCGCTGCTTTTTAATGTTTACTCGGAGGCTCTGATGTCGTAAGCGCTTGAAAACCTTGAAGTGGGAATAAAGATCAAAGGCAAAGTCGTTAACAACTTGCGTTATGCAGACGACACTATTCTCATTGCAACATCGGAGACCGATTTGCAAGCAATTGTAAATAAGGTTAATGAATGTAGCGAGAAAGCTGGTTTATCAACGAACATAAACAAGACGAAGTTCATGGTGGTCTCGAGAAATCCGGATTTGAACCCTAACATATCTGTAGCTGGGAAAAGAACTATAGCGGATACGATAGTGCAAGTATTATGTGTTAAGGGGGCTTGGGTAAATGAACCATGGGAATCTGATCAGGAAATCAAGGCCTGGATAGGAATTGCTCGAGCCTATTTTAACAACATGAGGAAAGTTCTGTGCTGTTGTAAACTGAATATATAGCTCCGAGTCAGGTTACTTTTATGTTACATCTGGCCTAACGTTATGTACGGCTGCGAGGGTACGAATGAAACCATGCTTCAGCGTGTTCGTATGTCCCTGAAAATGATGCCATCTATCAAAAGGCGTAAAATAAAGTATCTTGGTCACAGGAACAATAAATACACGCTGCTACAGCTAATAATGATGGGTAAAGTGCAGGGAAAGAGTGCCCTGGGCGAAAAAAGAAATCGTGGCTGCGGAACATTAGGAAGTGGACCGGCATTGCCTACGTCGAACAGCTGTTTCGGTTGGCTGCTGATAGAGACGGATCCAGGAAGCTGACGGCCAACCTTCAGCATGAAGAGGCACTTTAAGAAGAAGAAGAAGAATTGATAATAATAACTCTGTGAATTTGCACTGTGTGTGTGTATGTAAGACCTTCGTTACAAAAATTTTGAGAAGTTAATTTCTCAAGTTTATCGTGTACCGAGAATCAAACCCGGAACCTAGAGCAAAGGAATTAACACCCAGGCCAGAACCAATTTAGAAAAGTTCATTTCCCAAATTGGTCCTACCGGGAATCGAAGCGGTCACAAAGTGGCCTTTCTCTTTTCTTGTGTTGCATTTAGAGAGATGTATACTTTATTTAGTACAGAATATGTTTTGTTAATTATGAAAGAGTTCATTTTACCTTGACTTTTGGGCCAGTACCGCGTATCTTTTTCGTCACGGGACCCCGGCGATGGCGGCGGCGGCAGCTCGAAGAATTCGTCTGCGACAATAAGGCACTGTTCAATCGGTAATAGACATTATTACTGAATAAAGGAACCTGCACCATATCACAGTATAAGACACCACAAAGAGATATTCAACCTTTCGCAGCAACTAGATTTGGTCGGTCTGTCATATTTAGGTATGAAATTGACTTACCATTGATCTTCTGTATTTTTCATATAAAACACACAAAAAATTCGCAAGCCACATAAATGCATTCTCACTTCGGCGGCCGCGCGTCTGTTGCCCTACAATCGTGAAGGAGCGTAACTAAAGGAGGGAAGGGGGAAAGGGGATTTTTATTTAGTGTAAAAACAATTGTATAGGATTTGAATCTCTATTAAAATGTGTTAAGTGCTTTTCTAGTGCCACATTCACTGAATTATAAAGTTGTAAATCGTAACTTCAATTAGCCCAGAGCGAATTACATTGTTGCATTTCTAACTAATTACAATTACCGAGCAGCGAATTTGCTGTATCTCGGTGAACCATAGTTGGTTGGCCACGATAAAATGCTGTAAGTATTTCGAAACATTTAAACGGGGACCGTGTATCTCAACTTCAAAAAAAAAATGTAAGTAAAATTCTTGGTGTACCTATTTTACCATAAAAAAAAGCAAATTTTTCCTATTTACACCATTCTTCCGTGTGTTTTGTAAAAAATCAGGATCAAAAATCGACGTCGTATAACGGAAACATAACGTCGTAGAATTATGAGACCTAGACCAAAAAATATGCAATTTTTTTCTGATTCCAAATACATAAAAAACTAATTTTGCCATATTTCGAGATACGACAAGATTGCTTCCAGAGTCGATATGCGTTTTTATCCTATTATAAACCCAACTTACCGAATGCTTGATGTAAGGAATTATAGTTCCTTGGGTTTTTTTATTGTATAAAGCGACGGGACGAAGAAGTTGTACGTCTGTCGGTAAGTAACATGCTTATTAATAACAGCTACAGTGCCACCCATAGCTTTAACCGCAAAGATCTGAGGAGCACTGCCAATGCGCTATTCACTGTATATTAACCCGAATGGAGTGCCGAAAAGGAGCCTCCCTGCACGACGTCCCATTCCTTTCCTAGGCACCCTAGGCAACAATCGGTCAACCTTACGCCGCCGGTTTGGCAAATTCTTTCGATACGATTTCAAGCATTATAGGATAACATAAGATTAGTTTCTTCCCACTTTCCATAGAATAACAACTTTTAAAACGACCACAGTCATACGTCATAATTCAATCTTGGCATTTTAAAGTATTTCTTTGTACCAACCTACAATGTATGCGTATTTAAAGACTTATTTCTTGATGATTTATTTACACTACCACATGTCAGTCTCCTCACTAACAGTCGTATCTGATGTTTTTGTCATGATTAAATTAAATCTACTATAATACTCAGCTTTCAAAAGCGAACATTCTTAATCGTTGCACCTCTACCTTTTACCAATCAATAGTTAGATAGATAAACACTTTACTCACTAATATAACACAAATACAAATTAAATAAAAAATTAAAATAAAACATTTTTATCATAGTAGTGAAGGGCGTTGACTCAGGGCGCAGGACCAACGTCAGAAACAACGACAAGGACTAAATGTGTAAGTTACCTATTTGTAAGTAAAAATATAAGAAACGACTAGGAGTTATCATTGAAATAATAAAGTGTAAATAGTGCATCTAAAATAACCTATTCGATGTATGTATAAGTGGATGTGCGGATGTGAATGTAAGCGTAAATGACAGTGTAAATTATGATTGTTGTTAATACGTTTTAGTGTAATAAATAAAAGTAAAAATCTTAGAAAGGCCACGTGCAAAATGTGTATAGGAGAAGAAATTCGCGCTTTATGGACTTAAATCCTATTAGGAATTCACCACACTTATCAATACGGAATCGTATTAAACCGGCCAGTAAAAGCTTTACGTCCATTAAAATTTAATAAGAACAAAAAATACTTTAATATAATAATTTTTAGTAGCAGTAGTTCTCTTTGTGAAAGAGCTCGTCCAGGGAAGTACTGCCAACCTTATTTATTTCTGTAGCCAAGCAGTAATGTGAGCATTTCAGCTTTGAAGGGTAACGGTATGAAGGGAGGGGTCCTCAACTGTTATGGACAGTTGAGGACCCCTCACCCCATAGACAGGCGTTTCGCTTACTACCAGGCGCACAGCTTGTTCGTCGCGTGGCACTTGGTATCATAAAAAAAAACTTGCTCGTTTTACTTTTACTGAGGTCGACGACGCGAAATGCAACGCCGGCTCAAGCCCATTCCGCCTATATAAGTGTGGTGAGTCCCTTAAGGCACGTTTAGAAGCAGTATAATTAAGTAGTACT